CCTCTGCATTCTTATTATCATCCCTGCCCCCCTCCCTCTTCCCCTCCTCCCCCCCTCCTCTTCCTGCCCCGCCCTGTGCGTCCTCGCCCCCCCCCCCCCCCGTGGGGGTGGTATCTTTGTGTAGGTGGCTTGTGTGTGTGTGTTCTTGTGTGTGTGTGTGTGTCTCTCCAGCTTTCTCATTGCCTTTCTCGTTTCCTGTATCCTTCGGTATTTCCCATTATCATTCTCTCTCTCTCTCTTTCTCTCTCTCCCTCTCTCTCTCTCTCTGCCGTTCTTGCCACGCCCCCTTGGGCTTCATTGTGGCCCTCTGCGCCTTGTCGCAGGGAAGCTAAGACTCTCGGGGGAGCTGTGTAAATCAATAAATGCGAGAAAAAACAGCGGCGCCACAGATGCGCCATAAGTGTGGAAACATATGGGAAACGCATTAGAAACGCTTGACGGCGTAAACGTGCGAACACACTATTACTTCATGTATTTATTGTTTCTAGTCAGATTATTTGGGATTCTGTGTGCAAACACGAAATGCCAGAAAAAACAGCGGCGCCACCGATGCGCCAGAAGTGTGGAAACATATGGGAAACGCATTAGAAACGCTTCAAGGCGTAATCGTGCGCACACACTATTACTTCATGTACTTACAGATTTTAATAATATTCTTTGGGATTCTGTGTGAGAGCAATGCGTGCGAGAAAAAACAAACAGCGGCGCCACAAATGCGCGAGAAGTGTGAGAACATATGGGAAGCGCATTAGAAACGCTTGAAGGCGTAAACGTGCGAACGCATCATTACTTCATGTAGTTTTGGTTTTTCATTCAGATTCTTTGGGATTCTGTGTGAAAACACGAAATGCCAGAAAAAACAGCGGCGCCACAGATGCGCCAGAAGTGTGGAAACATGTGGGAAACGCATTAGAACCGCTTCAAGGCGTAAGCGTGCGCACAAATTATTATTGCATGCATTTATGGATTTTTTTTTATAATATTCCTTTGGGTTCTATGTGAAGACATTAAAAATCAATGAAAACGATGTGTTTTCAATATTATTGTTCAAAAGTCATTAAAACGATGTATTTTCAAATCTTTTTAATCGAAAATCAATAAACAAAAAAACGCTGTGTTTTCCAATAATTCCAATTATTTCCAATCTTTTCCAATAACAACGCTGTGTTTTCCAATTTTCAAATGTTTTTCAAGGTTTCGGGTACGGCAACGCTGTGTTTTCCAGTTTTTTATTTAAAAATTAATAAAACGCTGCGTTTTCTAATTATTTCAATGACAAATCAATAATAACGCTGTGTTTTCCAATTTTTTTAATCGAAAATCAATAAAAACGCTGTGTTTTCCAATTTGTTTTATTAAAAACTAAATAAAAACGCTGTGTTTTCCAATTATTTTAATGAAAAATCAATAAAAACGCTGTGTTTTCCAATCTTTTTCAACAAAAATAATTAAACACGCTGTGTTTTCAAATCTTTTTAATGGAAAATCAATAAAAACGCTGTGTTTTCAATTTTTTATTTAAAAATCAAGAAAAACGCTGCGTTTTGCAATTATTTTAATAAGAAGCAATAAAACCGATGTGTTTTACAATGCTTTTGAACAACAATTAATGAAAACATTGTGTTTTCCAATAATTCCAATAGTTCCAATATTTTCCAATAAAAACCTTGTGTTTTCCAATTTTCCAATATTTTTCAAAGTTTTCCAGCAAGGATCGCGCGTCGCCCCGTTGCCGTACCCGAAACCTTGAAAAACATTGGAAAATTGGAAAACACAAGGTTTCTATTGGAAAATATTGGAAATAATTGGAAGTATTGGAAAACATAATGTTTTCATTAATTTTTGTTCAAAAGCATTGTAAAACACAGCGTTTTTATTGATTCTTATTAAAATAATTGCAAAACGCAGCGTTTTTATCGATTTTTAAATAAAAAATTGGAAAACACAGTTTTATTGATTTTCCATTAAAAAGATTTGAAAACACAGCGTTTTTAATTATTGTTGTTGAAAAAGATTGGAAAACACATCGTTTTTAATGATTTTTCATTAAAATAATTGGAAAACGCAGCGTTTTTATTTAGTTTTTAATAAAGCAAATTGGAAAACACAGCGTTTTAATTGATTTTCGATTAAAAAGATTGGAAAACACAGCGTTATTATTGATTTTTCATTGAAATAATTGGAAAACGCAGCGTTTTTTTTTTTTTTTTTTTTTTTTTTTTTTTTTTTTTTTTTTTTTTTTTTTTTTTTTTTTTTTTTTTATTTTTTATTTATATATATTAGTTTGTTAATAAAAAAAAATGGAAAACACAGCGTTGCCGTACCCGAAACCTTGAAAAACATTGGAAAATTTGAAAACACAGCATTTTTATTAGAAAATATTGGAAATAATTGGAATTATTGGAAAACACAGCGTTTTTATTGATTTCAATAAAACCTTCTGGATGCGGAATCCATCTCATTTCTATTGAATTCCAATTGGAATCTAATTAGAATCCAAATAGAAATCCTCTGGACCTGGGACCCGTTCTCTTTCGATTGAAATCCTATTGAAATCTCATTGGATTTCAATAGAATCTTCTGGATGCGGAATCCATTCCATTTCTATTGAAATCCAATTGGAATCTAATTAGAATCCAAATAGAAATCCTCTGGATCTGGGCTCCGCTCTCCTTTCATTGAAATCCAATCAAAAGCAAACGAAAAACTAATACAGACAGAAAGAACGAGAGGGAGAGAGAGAGAGAGAGAGAGAGAAAGAGAGAGAGAGAGGGAGACAGCAGAGGGAAATGAGAAACCAGGAAACACACACAAGCCACCTACACAAAGATACCACCCTTACCCCCCCCCCCCCCACACCCCCTACTCGTCCCTTTCCCTCCCTCGCGCCTTCCTTCGCGTCCTCGCCAGCGTCCCTCGCCTCCCCTCCCCCCCTGCTGCTGATGCTGCTGCTGCTGCTGCTGCTCCTCCGCCTCCTCCTTTCCCGTCTCCCGCCTCCTTCCCCTTCCTGTCCCCTCCCCATCGCCATCCTCCTTCCCCACCCCCCTCTCCTTTCCTCCTCGTTTTCTCGTTCCACTCTCCCTCCCCATCTTCCTTCTCGACTCATTCTCCGAATCCCCCGATCTTTTTGTTCACTCTCCTCTCCCTTCTTTTCCTCTCCCTCGCTCTCACTTCCCATTCCTTCTCGTCCCACTCGTTCCCTCCCCCTCCTCCTCCTCCTCCACCTCCTCTTCCTCCTTCTCCTCCTCCTCTTCCTCCTCTTTCCCTTCCTCCTCCTCCTCATCGCATCCTCCTCCGCCGCATCCTCGTCCTCCTCCTGTCACCCTCTCTCTTCCTTCTGCTTCTCCTCCTCCTCCTCCTCATCGTCATCCTGCTGCTCCTCTTCCTCCTCCTCCTCTTCCTCCTCCTATCCCTTCCCCTTCGTCCTCCTCCTCCCCCTCCTCCTCGTCCTCCTTCCTGTTTCTCCCCTTTCTCTCCTCTGCCTTTTCCTCTCCCCATTCTCCTCCCTCCCTCCCTCTCTTCCTCCCTCCCTCCTTCTCCCCCCACCTCTCCTGCCTCCCCTAACCTGCACCCTCCTCCACTCCCCCCCCCCGCCCCCCACCCATGTAGGGGGCCATCCCCCCCGTCTCCCCCCTGGAGCAGCCGACCCGTGGCTCTCCTCTGATCTTGCACCCCCTCCCCCCCACCCACCTGCCCCTCGTCGCGAGAAGCGGCGTGCGCGGACCATCCCCAGTGGTGCACCGCGGCAGGCCCGGCTGGCCCGAGCGGTGCCGGGCCGCGCTGGCCCGACGAGCCAGTGCTCCCCGCCGAGGATCCAGTCGGGCATGCCCCACTGCAGGAGGAATATTCAAACATAGGCAGAGCATGGTTTGGGGACAGTGTTTCTGTTACGTGTGGGCAATGTTTGAGTATTTCTGGCTCTTTTGCATCTTTCTTCCAACATCCGCCTGTAGGGGGACATGCTCGACCTCAGCCGAGGGTGAAGTTGGGCGGATGGCGACGGGAGGAGGAACAGATACCCATACTGCTAACTTTCCCTTGTTTTCCCTTCTTGGGGCTTCCTGGGAGGCCCTCGATTCTGGTCAGAGCGCTCCCCGGGAAAGGTCCGACGGGTATCGGTATAGGCCCCTATTGGTCTGCCCAAACGGGGGTGCAGTAGACGTGGCGCGATCGAGGAATGCCTGGCGGATGTAGCATCGGGTGCGCCTCGTGTTCCTTCCGCCGCTTGCCTCAGGCCGAGGACGCTGACTGCTGGCTGGTTTTCTCCCTGACCTCTCGGCCCTGTCCTCTGTCTGATGGGCCTGTTTTCCACCACCACCATAAGTTGGGGTAGGAGGGGGTCTCCTCCTCCTCGTCCTCCACCTTCTTCCCCCCTCCAACTTATCGTGGTGGTGGTGGAAAACAGGCCCATCACTGTCTTGTCCTCTCGTCCTGTCCTTCCTGTCCTTGTTCTGTTCGGTTCTCTGTGTGGTTCCACGGACGCGGTGGCTGCCCAATCACCGTCGCATGAGATTTTGGCGTATTGCTCGGGATTGCCCCGGCCGCCTTGTCACGAGTGCTGTTACATCTTCGGCCGCTCGGCGTTCATCGTGCTTCCTTGCCTCATGTCGAGTGCCTGCCTGGGGGCTTCGCTGTCGAAGCCTGGCATGTGCGCGGTGCCCAATGTATCGCCTGCAGCTGCCTTGATGCGTGTGCCCCTGGGGACCTGTGGGCGTCGTGTAGCGTGTCGCAAAAAAACCGGGTGATAGGAAAGTGGCCCGAACTGGGGTCCCACAGATGGCCTTGCAGCTGCGACAGCGGGCCGCATCGGTGCACGAGAGGTGCACGCTGCTTTCAGCCCGCGTGTCTCGCTCATCCCCCCCCGTGTACGGGCACCAGAGGGGAAGTGGGGTCTCCTTGGAACCGGGCCCTGGAGTTACGTAAGTCGAGCCTGTCCCTCTACAGGGGCAATATTCAAAAATACTCCAAAAATAGTCTGGGGACTATTTTTGACAATTGTT